ACCCTAAACCCTAAACCCCCAGAGGACTTGGAGGACCTGGGTCCGGACCCCGGTCAGGAGCCGCCAGAGCCCCGACTGCCGCCCCCCAAGAGGCGGGCTTCAGGGTTTAGGGTTTAGGGTTTAGGGTTTAGGGTTTAGGGTTTGGGGTTTGGGGTTTAGGGTTTAGGGTTTGGGGTTTAGGGTTCAGGGTTTCGGGGTTTCGGGGTTTCAGGCTTGGGGCCTTAGGCTGTAGGGTTTGAGGTTTTGGTTTTAGGGTTTGGGGTTTTGGTTCAGGGTTTGGAGGTTTGGGGGTTTGGGGCTTGAGGCAAATTTAGGGTTTGCTGTGTAGGATTTCAAGGCTTTTTGCTTCGATTTGGGCTTCAGGGCTTTTTGGGGTTCGGGATTCGCTTTCGGACTTGATTGTGCAAGGTTGTGGGCTGCGGCTTCAAAGGTTGAAAGTGCGAGGCGCGGCTTCTAGGTTTTAGGGTTTAGGGGCTAGGGTTTAGGGTTTAGGGCTTTGGGGTTTAGGGGCTAGGGTTTAGGCGTTTAGGGTTTTAGGGTTTTAGCGTTTAGGGGCTAGGGTTTTAGGTTTTGAGCTTGGAGGGGTGCGAGGGTTGAAGGGAGTGGGCTTAGGAGTGCGAGGTCATCCGGGTCGATAGGCCAAGGGACTCAAGGAGGGACCCTTAAAGGGGATATACAGGGGCTTTATATGAGACTATATAAGGGGTATCTAAGGGTTATCTGGGCTATTTGGAGTAGGGGTCCCTTCTAGGGGTCCCTCCTAATGTCCCCTAAATAGGGCTTCATACGATTCATACGATTTCACCGGGCGCGTGAATTTGGTGCTCTCGACACATGATGCAGACGACTCGCGCAGATGTCTCCACCGCCAGAACAATCGTCCTCTCTCTTACTGCTGCTGCTGCTACTACTTCTACCGGTACTGCTACTGCGTCTGCATCTGCGACTGCCACTTCTACTGCTACTGCTGCTGCTGCTGCTGCTGCTGCTGCCACTGATGCTACGACTGCTGCCGCTCCCACTGGTACTGCTTCTGTGTAGAATTCTCACTGCTAATACTACCCCTACTGCTGTTGTCACTACCACCATTATTACTATTACTACCGTTACCACTACTACTGCCACTACTACTGCCACTACCACTGCCACTACTTCTACCTCTACCACTACCAATGCTGCGATTGCTCCTCCTCCTCCTCCACCTGCTCCTGCTGCTCCTCTTGCTGTTGCTATTTCCTATTGTGATTAGTGACTCTTGCTGCTGCCGCTGTTACTCTTGCCGTTGCTGTCGGCGTTGCCGTTGTGGCGTTGTCATTGTCGTCGTCGCTCGTCGTCGTCATTGTTTCGACTAGCAGCGACAAGCATTGTCTGCAATCTAGGCATGTTTCTCTGTTTTTTTTGTATTTCTGGCTTTTAGATCGTGAGCATTATGACAATCATTTTCCCTACGGCGCTAAGCCCTACACCCTGAACCCACGACACTAAGCCCCACACCCCCTGAACGCAAGAGCCTAGTCCCTGAAATGTAGAGCTAAACGCTAAGCCTCTGGTCTGGTGCCAGGTTGAAGCCGTCACCTGCCCCGGCTTTCCCAACTCCGCGGCCGAAGCGAGCAGCTCCAGCGGTGCAAAATCCAGGCACGGAGTTGGACTTTCCGGGTTTGAGGGATTAGGAGTTTAATTTTGGGTTCATGGGTTGGGGGCTTTGGGTTCAGGGCTTCGCAGTGCCATTGATGTTGATTTCGAAAACTCGAGAAAGGAGGCAACGTCTGCGTAGACAGGGGGTTATGGGCAGGATGGGGCAGAAGTAAAGAATTCTAAATTTGCTAAATGTCCAAGCAGCGACTTTTGGTAGCACGCATGGTCCAGAGTATTACTTGAGAATCGGGGCACATGCCGTTCGAATTGTACAGTACTGCTAGTCTATATCCCAATACTTCACACTCGTAGCAGCCAGTAGACATCGTCCTCGTCGTCGTCGTCGTGATCCTTCTCCTTCTTTTCCTCCTGCTCCTCCTCCTGCTCCTCCTCCCCTCCTCCGCCTCTGCCTCCTCCTCCTCCTGGCTCGGGTCCTCTTCTTCAGACTCATCTTCACATTTCTCGCCAGCACCGTATCATCCGAAGCGTGCCCACAGCCGTAGCGCTCGTACAAGAAGGAACCAGGGCCAAAGTGTTTTGTGGGTGTTGCCACCAGCCACTCGGAAGCACTGATAGACCTCGCCAGTGCTCCGGAATCTACCAGCCACTATTGCCCGAACGGAACCCACGCGGCGCTGAGGTCACGCGGATTTGCAGGCGTATGCTCTTAGCTTTGGCCTCAACGACGACGCGATCAGAACCCTCCACGAGCTTCCTCCTGAAAGCTTGGCCTACGTCCAGCAGAACTTTGAGCCGCGCGAGGGCACGAAGAACATATCGGCCTTGTTCATCAGCTTCGCCAGGAAGTCTCACTTCAATCGAACCGGCCAGCAGCTGGGTAGGCAGTCCGCGCAGGAGCCTCGGGCTGTCTGCAGCTGCCGTTCAAAGGCCTAAACTTCCTAATTTTTGCCCAGGCGATGCTCTGAACTTACTTCACAGAGCCCGGAAGGTAGTGCATTGGGGGTTCTGTTGTCATCCCAAAAACCCTAAAGCCTAAACCCTAATGATCGCGGAAAGATCTCTTGGGTTCGCCTCTTCAAGTCTCGAACCCGGGGATCCACCGTTTAGGGTTTAGGGTTTAGGGTTTAGGGTTTAGGGCCTAACCACCACTCGCCTGCTCTTCGGCCAGGATCGAGCAAAGGGCTTGCTTGACGAGTTTGCGCACAGGCTTGGGGTGAGTACTATAGTACTATACATCATCAACATGATGAGTACACATCATACATGCAGATTGATCTTTTTCGGGTATTTGTCAATGGAAAAGCTGCCTTTCTTCCTGGCTACCAAAGTTCTGATGAGGTTGTTTTGTTGTTTCCTCAAAACATTCCCGTGATCACTGTCTTCAATTCTAAGGGCTGCTTCTGTTCCGGGTTCAGGTGTGCACAGTTTACAAACTAATTCGTTCCAAATTCCTTCGGGGGTCTCGTGTTTGGTGCTGTGTTGTGTTTCGGGTCCCAAACGATAAGCCAAAAACCCCTAAACCCTAAACCTCTCGTGTTTGGTGCTGTGCTGTGTTTCGGGTCCCGGCTCACGTTTAATATAGGGGCCTTAATAATTGGAATACGGTCTTGGGGCGCATTATACTATAAGTTTATACTAAGGAACCCCCAAAACCCTGTTCTAATTATTAGGGGTCCTACATTAAACCATAAGTTGACATTAAGGACCCCCCCTCCAAAAAAAAAGGGGTCCCAAACGAGAAATGTTCCGAAGGAAGCGAGCCTGAACCTGGCAACATCTCTGCGCATTGCTGCCCTTGCGACCTTGCCGTAGATCTTGCGGTACTGGTACCTATATTATTTCGAGGGTTCCTTATTATCACTATAGTATAATATACGCCAAAACTCCAATTCTAACTCTTAAGGCCCCTACCTTAAATTTTGTGGTTAGGAGTGTTTTTTTGCTGGGCCTAGTCCGCCGAGTAATCTAAGCCTCGTGGGGCGTAAGCAACTCGTCCGCAAAACCCAATCTCCGAAGGCAAACGAAATGGAATCTGCAGGCAGCGGGACCGGACGGATATCCGGAAATGATTGGAATGAACCCCACCACAAAGCCAAAACACAAGCCTCCAAAATCAGAGCACGCCGCTTGAGTTTCGACCAGAGAAACAAACGCGCGATTGCTCGTTGCCCTATTTTTGTTGCGCGACGTGTTCTTGTTTTGTGCTCTGCGGCATCTAGGCAAGGGGACGAGAGGCGGAAGCGGAGAACAACGAAAGCGACGGCGTCGAAGAGCCTTGACAGTCCAACAGGCAATGGACCGAAAGCGACGAGCTTGGGCGGGCCGACTACCCGGATCGATCGAAGGCAAAAATCCCGAAAACTTCCAGTCGGGTCCCTATCCAACGCATGAAGCGTAAGCTCGCATGACCTCCTTTTATCCTCGCTCTACCTTTGAACTTCGGCGATTACGTCCTCCATGCGTGGCGGCAGATGTGGCAACTAAGTCAGCGAAGGGGGAACACGCGCGCGTGCGCGCCAGGACGGATGCCCTTTCCGAGTCCTGTCTCATTGCTTTGGTGGTGCCCATCGGAGCCCAGCCACGCTGTGTGCTTGGCTTGCTGCCGGGTGAAATTACAGCGCGGAGGAAGCAATCGAAGACTTGCCCGTAAGCTCGTCGTCCTTAGGAACAAGCTATCGACCTCACGTTTGGGTTTCTTTAAGTCGCGAGCCCCTAACTGTTGATGTGAGCTTCACACCCCAAAATCTTGAACCTTGATGGCAAACTTGCAAACCCTGCTGAGATGTCAAGCCCCAAACCCATATCCCAAAGCCCACAACCCTAAACCCTAAACTCCATCATCCGAAGTGCAAAACTTCAACCCAAACCCGGAAAAAGCACCCCTCAGGTGGGAGCTCAATTCTGACGCAGTAGCATGGCTGCAGATGATCGATGACCAACTGGCTCTGGAGGAAGTCGTGGCGAGCTTCCACCCAAGTCCAGGCAAAAGTAGGGTTTTGGGTTACCGCCACCGTTCGTACTTCAACTACGACGACCTATTTGGGGTATGCATGTTGTTGCTATCATTGCCGTACCAATGTGTACTCTTGTCCTCCTGGTTATTATTGCATCCAGTGTTTTTCTTACGACCGCTATTTTTTTCCATCATTGCTGGCTTTGAGGTTTGAGGCGTTTCATGTTTCGAAGGTCCTCGGTTCTGGTATGTGGAGTGGGGGTCTTACGGCTCCCGAAATTGAGAGCGCCCCAGGCCCGAACCTAAGGGTCCGGTTTCGGGTTCCAGGGTTCCATGGTCCCAAGGTGTTGCATTTTGTTCTCAGGGATTGAGGGTTAAAGATCAAAAGTTGAGGGATTGGGGTAGAATGGAGGTGTCAGCTACCTTCGGGGTTGAAGATGAAAAAGTTGAG